ATTGTTCGTTAGTTGACGTCAAGGATTCTTCGAGATTGAAACCCAATTAAGTGAGTCGAAAAACCTTCACTAAAACCTTGCCTCTAATTTTATTTAATGGGTGGGTGTTCGGGCCAGTGTCTCCATTAATTTTCTTTATGCATACCCTCTTTATTATGACGGATTATGATTTATTTATGTGTTCAAAATAAAAAATTTAATTTGTGTGTGTAATCATTAACATACGATCATTCAGTTTCAATATGATCTTTTTTGTCTAAAATAATTAAATTATTATTATTATTATACTTATACTTTCCCATCATGTGACTACGATACATACATGTATATTGGGTATTAATAATAATGTAATATTTCATATAATAATTTTATTAGACTGTGCCCTCCAAATTAAAAGGCACTATTTTGATAATTAGCTACCATGCTACCTCTAGTTGAAAGGACATCAAAGAAAATAACATCAAAGTTGAAAACCATAATCTTTTACGAATCCACTTTTTGTCTAGTTTAGATTTTTTGCTGACAAAATGATAATGCTATATATAAATGTATATACGTATTTGGTATCTAGAAATGATAATTTTAATGTATTGTCTTGAGTTATATGTGCATGTCACATGTTATTGTTATTACTATTGTAATTATGACTTACTACCATTATGCCTAGTTACTCACAAAAAGGTTGACTATATTGGTCAAACACACGAGAGTATCCTACAAGTAATTTATTATTCTGCCTATTATGTATCAATTTATATTTCTCATTGTGGTGTCTCTATTGTAAACATGCACATATTCATTAATGATGTTTTAATGAATGAAGCATGCTAATTATATTAAAATAACCACAATGCTTTCATTGCAATTTTTCATTTTTACTAATAATAATTATAAAAAGAGAGAGGGATAGAAGGAACTAATATTTTTTACTGTACATGTACATGTAGAGACTATGAAAGAAAATAGTAGTGCACAGTTAATACAAACATCAAAGAAATTGTTTTTAAATTAATTATGAGCTTAACTGTCTCTATACCTCTTCATATGTGTACATGCACAATTATTATGACAGGTGGTCACTACTAAATTACCTGTACCAATCACTCTTGACTGTTCACTCCTTATTATAATATAATGTATATATATATTATGTATATATATTATATATATGATGTAAGTATGCATTGATCAAACAGTCAGTTGTATTTATCATGTATATGTGTATACCACCTATTCCTTTTGATGGATTATTACACAGGCTGTACTTGTATATGTGTGACACCTCCTTACTATATTCAGCACATTTACATGTACATTGCACATGTATGTGCATTTATTACTTTTGTTACTTTCATTATGTTACCTTTTTCTTGATTTGATATTATTAGCAAAGTATATTACATAGAGTTCATCATTTTCATTATTGATTCATGTAGTGTTATTTTGACTTTATGATTCCTGGCTATACTATTGTTTTTATAGGAATTTATTATGAGAGTACAAGGGAAATTTATAATGGAATTATATTATACATAACCAGAACAATCGACTCTAGTACTGATTGTATAATTATTACTTTATTGCATTGTAAATGTACATGTACATATGTCCAATGTGAAATTTGCATTTGCAATGTACATGTACATGTCTGCATGTGTGTGCTTTGGGGGATGTTTGTTTGTTCCTTTGAATTGATAAGTAATGGGTTACTTTGTTCTTTTCCTGTATAAACTTTTCCCCTCCCCCTCTCTCTTTTTCTCCTCCTTTATCTCTTCCTTCCCCCCTCCCTCTCTCTCTCTCATCTCTCTCTCTCTCTCTCTCTCTCTCTCTCTCTCTCTCTCTCTCTTTCATCTCTCTCTCTCTCTTTCTCTCTTCAGTAGATATTAGATATGTGGTCTTGGCCTAATCATTCAATAGCTAATATAAATCCTAATTTCCAGACACCTAGTCATTTCTCTGTCTCCAGCTTCCCTCCCTCCTCCTCCTCCTCTACTCCTCAATCACATGCACACTCACCTTCATCTCAGCCCCAGTCCATCTCACGTCTACCCTTCCACTCCCCTGGTTACCAGCAACCCGACTATACCAACCAGTCCTCGCCCTTTAGTTACCAGTCCTCACACGGGGCCTGGCAGGCCGTGCCACCTCACCATGTTGATAGCTCTCCTTCCTCTCTCCTCCCTCCCCCTCCTCCCCCTCCTTCGCTACCCATACCCCCTCCCCCTCCCTCCTCTCTCCACCATCAGTCACAGACCGAGCAGTTCCTGTCTCAGAAGCATCATCACGACCTCCCTCACAATAACTCCGCCCCACTCCACCTAGCAACTGGGGGAGGCATGTCCCTAGCGACCGGTGGTATTCCAATGGCAGGCGGTGATGGACGGTATCACAACTCTGGCAGCAATATACCATTTTCTGTTGATTTTATATTACAGAAATCAGCCGCAGCTGGACAGGAGATTACTAGTGGATATACAATGGGAGGCGGAGTTGGAGTAGGTGGGGCCAATATTGAACAACAATACATTAGTGACACGCCTACCGGGTACGGGCTGGACTATCATATTGAAGAGAATAAAGGACATTATGACACTAGCTCGTTAGGAGTTGGAGTGGGTGGAGCTTATCACAGAGAGACACGCCCCCAGGAACCAATCCCCTCTCAGTCTTATGACAGACCAAGCGAGCAATATACCGAGCAGCTTCAAGCTCCGCCTACTTATCCCATTGTTAATAATGAGTATAATAGCTCAAAATGTGAAGAGAGATACTCGCCTCCTGGCCTGATACTAAAGGAAGACGGGGGAACTACAAGGAAAGAGGAGAATTTGTCCCTCAATCAGTCATCATCGTCTTCAGCCTCGGTCTCTACCTCGGGGAAGATTAATTCAGTGACTCCGCCTAGTGATGGCATTCGTAATGAGTCTATACCCATTCCTGCGTCTCCGCCCAAAATGGCCGACTCTCGTAGCTCCAGTAGCAGTGAGAGTAGCAGTGGGGATACTAGTAATAAATTAATGAGCAATACCTTTCAGTTAGGGCTGTCTCCTCCACCTTTATCATCAACTAATCAGAATGTTATTCCAGGAGCTATCACTGATGATAATGATAATGAAAGTTTTCCAATGGATACAGTAAAGACAGGAGCACCTTCCTTACCTCCTGAACAAAATGGAGAACTAGAAAATCAACCAAAGAGCCTCTCTCGTCCCCCGCCCCTCGTTCCCGTGGAAACACCCTCCCAGCCAAAGATGGGTTACTATGACGATGAAGATGACGATGTTTTTCTTCCTGGCCCGCCCACTCAAAAGAGATTGCTAATGTCAGAGAAATCAGAAAAGAGAGAGATTAGTAAGACTCCATCGGGTCACGTACAGTCTGGCGGTCAAACGGAGTCTCCCACTCGTAATCAGATTAAAAGACAGCAGCAGCAAGGATGGGGGAGGGGCAAGGGAGGGAGAGAGAAGGGAGGAGGGGACTCTCCTGGGATGGTCATTGGGAGGCGTGGTAGGGCTGCTGGCAGAGTATTAGACGAAAATAAGCTAAGGATCCCACTGGAGAAAGGGTGAGCTTTTAATGTTAATGACTAGTATGAATTTTTAATTTTAAATAACTCGTTACTATTGGCTAAAGTTAACTTTATATTTTGCTAGATTTTAATGAAAAGATAATTATTTTATTGTTTTTTTACTATTAGTTGGCAGAGGGTAGTAAGAGCTAGAGTGGCTGAGGGTAACAATGCTCCTCGAGTTGATATATGTTACGTGACTCCGTGTAACAGACGCCTTAGAACCTTCCCTGAGATCCATCGCTACCTCTCCTCTAACTCTATCACTGACCTCACCATCGACCACTTTACTTTCAGTAAAAAGGTCAACGTTGGGATGATCATCGACGAGAAAACGTCCCCCGAGTCTCTCGATAACTTACTCGTGCACCCCAGACGTGGTCGACCCCCTAAGAGACCGGTACACTCACAGCAGCAACAAGTGAAGGCTCAAGTGGATACTATCACTGACTCTGAGGGTTCTTCAAGGATTAGTCTAGAGCCTCACGAGATAATTAAGCCCTCGCCTACTAAAATTTCGAGTTCTGTTTCCACTGTTACTGTCCCTCCCACACATTCGTTCCTGTCTCACATGTCAAAGGATCAGCACACGATCACTAGAATCATCAACACTGATTACGCTGATCCTAATCAACCTCCGAGAGATGAAACTGACCACGGGCCAGCCGATTCACAGAACAAAGACCGCTCCTCCTTATTGCTACCCCAAGCCACGCCCCCTCTCCTTGCGTCCTCTACTGAATGGAGACCCCCACCTCTTACCAGCCCTGAGGAGATTGCGGCCGGTGGCTGGGGTAGTGGCGCTACTAAAGGAGTGTCCACTATTGGGTCTTCTGGGGTGACTGCCGGTAGCCGAGGTCACGTGATTACCAAGAGACCGCGAGGACGTCCTAAAGGGAGTGGTTTGGGTGCTAAACCTGGCGGAAGCTTGGGTCAAACATCAGGTAGGTTTAATTGAAGGAGTGGGCGTTAGTGTGGGGTGGGGAATTTTTGGCTGTTTTACATGCGCAGTACATGTAATTTGGTGGTCATTAAGCCTGTGCATGATGAAAGGGGCTGGTTTTATTTTGGCAAATGGCTATTGAAATTCTAAATTTGCCAAAACTTTGAAATTAAAAGTTGTACAATTACACATATTCTTGATTATTGTGATTGGTTAATCTCAGTCGTGTGCAGTGCATGATTATCATTCATCGTACGTGCTTATATTTTCTTAAACACTTGACAATGTTGATAATTCTTTAAAAAAACAAACACAGAAAATAAGATGACAACAACAACAATAGATGCTAATCTGCAAGCTCGATATTTCAACATATACATTTGCATAATCCCTGTACTATAGTACAGGGTCTTTGGCCAAATTTTTCCACAAATGACCAGGAGAGAATTCTTCATTTTATAATTTTTTTCTGATACATATACACTGTACATGTTCTTATGTTGTGTAGCAAGTTTGAGCTGATTCCAATCGAAAGTAAATTTTTTACAAATTTTAAGAGCTACTCAAAAAGCCATGTACATGTACTGTATTGTAGTTCTTGTCAGCTCATGAAACATACTTTTTAGCTAACTTAGCATGCTTTGCAGGAAACCCTGTGCAACATACATGGACATACAGTATTATAATTACATACATGTACATTATATGTATCATATTATCCTATAGCTCATCATGTGGGTGGTAGAAAGAGGAAAGCTAAAGCGACAGTCCACATACTACCATCACTAACACCAGGACCAGTACCACCACTAACAATGGGAGCTCCTGGGATCAATACAGGAGGCGCTGCTACTACTATCCCTGGGGCTGCTGGATCAACTAGTAATAATAATACTGGAGGAGGAACGTCTTCTGCTCCAACTTTATTGAAAGGTACACGTACACGTACACGAGTTAGGATAAGTGATTTGTATCTTATAAATATTATAGAAGTGTTTTTGTTATTATTATTATTATTATTATTATTATTATTATTATTATTATGTACTGTGATGTGTACTTTTGTATATATTACACTGTTAATAGTTCCCTTATATTTTACTTGATAGTCCATTCAGACTCATTGTAGTAGTTGAATATGAAACTACCGACTTTAGTCCAATTAGTAGTAGTACATACTGTATAGTGTAGTAGTATTGAGACTGTATTTGAGTTACTACCTTTCCTTGTTACTTTGTAGTCCTGTAGCAATAGTAGATAAAAGATTCATTATCTACTCTTGCATGTAGTTATTGACATATAAGATACATTGCATATGCGTACTGATATTGGTACAATGTATGATTTGTGTGAGATTATTCCGATTGAATTTGGCTCTCTCTTCACTTGATGATTTACCATTGAATTATAATTAAAATAATTATTTTGATTCGGTCAATTACATGTAGCTATCATTATAATTTCATCTTTCTTTCTCTCTCCCTTCTTTTCTCCTTCATCTTTTCAATTGATATCAAAGATCAAAGCAAAGTCTCTGTATCAAAGAAGCAAGAGGAGAAGGAGAAGAGGAGACAGCTCATCCAAGCCAATAAAGCAAGGAAGAGAGCCGAGTCAACTCACCGAGCGACACAGAGGAGAATGTCACAGCAATCTCGTCGACAAAGAGAGAGAGCACTAATAAAACAAGCAAAAGAAAGAGTTGAGAGATTGAATAGACAAAAGGAAGCTGATGTAAGCAGCTTTTATTTATGCATATATATGTACATGTACATGTACTTATATTTTCTATTGTCTCTTATTTTATAAACTACCAATCTGCATGTGCAATGTAAGTCTAAAGTTTTGATATTTTTAAATTCTTCAAAATTTTGCAAAGAGCATGAACTTAGCAATTTATATTATTATTATTATTATTATTATTATTATTAATTTTATTAATCAATTTATTTATTTATTAGTGGTATCAGCTGAGAAAGAGTCGCATAGCAAAGCAAAGGGAAGAAGCGAACCAGTTGAAAGCAAGAGAGAGAACTCTGAAACTAGTTCAAGAGATTCAGCAAAGAGAAATTGAAAACGATCGACTCATGAGACTCAGACAACTTGAGAGGGAAAAGGCGGAGCAACTCCGTCGACCAACTGAAGATCTCCTCGTCAATGATCTTATTGATCTACCGACTCTTACGAAACTAAAGTGGGTCCAGCTTCCCTCCCACTCGTTTGCTGATCTCGTTATGGTATTCGAGTTCAGTCACTCTTTTGATGATTTTCTTGAGATCGAGAAAGTCCCGAGGTTTTCGGAGCTTTACGCTGGACTGTTTAACGTAACGATAGAGAAAGAGGAGGAGGAGGAGGGAGAGGAGGAGGAAGGGGGTGGAGCTGATGAAAGGAAGAAAGTAAATGGGTTAATATTACTGACCATGCAGCTGGTGAAGGCTGCAGTTCATGATGGAGGATCAAGAGTGAGTAGTTTTTAAAGTTGTTCAAAAATTGGGCCAAAGTCCCTGTACTATAGCATGGGCTCTTTAGCCAAATTTCGCCAAAAATGACTAAGAGAGAATTCTTTAATTTTATAATTTTTTCCTGATGCATTATAGTTAATTTAATTTCATTTGTTTTATTTTTATTTTATATTGCTATAATTTACTCTCTCCCATAGACCCAGACTATATCAGGTCTGCCGTTGAGAGACGTTGATGTGAAGGAGGACACAGTCTCTGAAGTTTTGAGACTTTACCTGCAAAACAAGCGAAACCCTTTCCTTAAAAACGTACGTAAATAAAGTCTAATGATATTTTATTATTTAAAAATTATAAAAAATACAATCGTCTTTCTTTCCTTCCCCACACTCACACACACACACACTCTCTCTCTCTCTCTCTTAATAGGTCACTACAATATTGTCAGAGTATCCTTATCAGTCTCTTTCTGCTGTTGACAAGATTGCTGTCCTCTCCTATCTTGTTGATGAGCTCCTCAGTTCAGTCTCTCTCTGTCGTGAGGTGGACAATAGGATGGAGCAGATTGCCACTCTTAGACGCAACAAATGGAAGATAAGCTTAAAACTGAAGAGGTACATATACATGTGCATGTATTTAAATAATAGTCTTCGTGGCTGCTTAAGTGTACTATTTTATGTATACATGTACATGTACATTGAATATAGGGCTGGGTGATAGTGATAGTGTGATAGTGTACAGCCTATCATGATAGTGATACTGTTATTCTAACTATCATGATAGTTGTTATGTGTGCATGGAGCATGGCATAAATGACACTTTACAGCTGTAATTAGCTTCTAATTAATGATAACTTCCACAAATAGAGTGGTGCGACTTACTAGCACAGGCTTAATTCAAGGTTTTTCACTGTCCCTGCTACATCAGCACCATGTGAACGTGTTTTCTGTATAGCGGGACAGTGTTTCTTGTTAAAAATTTGGATTAAATAAGTACAATGACTAAGTACAATGACTACATCCTTAAATAAATCATTGTATTTCCACATGTAAACCCTATGGCTGAACTATCGTGATATGTTCACTATCGTGATATTAGAGTTACTAAATATCGTGATAGTGATATTACTACTATCACCCAGCCCTAATTGAATACCATTATTTTATTAAATGCATGCTTGTATACATGTACATGTATAAGTAACTAAGCCCTATGTAGCATGTACATGTATATATATCTGCTCTCTCTCTCTTTTAGATTCAGATCTCGTCTCACTGACTCGTTTGGTGTGAGTCAGTTTCAGAAGCCGGTCCTTTATTCAGGGAGAGGGAGGCCCCCTAAGAGAGCACTCCTTAATGCCAATGGAGGAATGAATGAGGTACACACGTACATGTACATGTACATGTACAATCACTGTACGCATCATTGCTTCTATATTAGTTCATTTTTATTATTTTTAATCTATTAAATCTCTGTACAGTTGTACTTGAACACCTGCAGCGTGTATTCTGTTTCTCCTACAATACACAATACATGTACTTAACGTCTCACCTGTACTCTTGTGATTTCTGACTATATATTTCTGTAGAAAATCTCATTTGATTATTAATAATAATCATACCAATTAATTTAATTAATTCCTGATAATTAGATGTACATGTACTGTACTGCAATTGTTATTAGTATGTGTCCGATGTACATGTACATGTTTAATGTGATTTACATATACTACTGTGAGTAATGGGTTCATGTCTAGACAGTAGACACTAATTTACAATGTACAATTGATCTTCTGCGACCTCTGCATGTATGTACATGTACACGTACACGTACAATGTACATACCGTATAGCGGGTAATTTTGGAGGGGATTAAATTTGGCAAATTTGGTGTTTTGATAGTCATTTGCCAAAATAAAATCTGCCACTTTGAGCTATTATACGCATGCTCAATGGCACGTGGCCACAAATTTGCCAAAATTAAAATCTGTCAATTAACAAAATTTAGCAGTTTGCCAAAATTTATCCCCTCCAAATTTACCCACTATACGGTACACTACATGTATATGTACACGTACAATGTACATACACTACATGTACATGTACATGTATACTTCATGTATTATAAATGTATATTCGTAGGATGGTGAGAGTAGTGATGATGAAGGTGGGGCTAATGAGCCTGATGATACAACTACTGCTGGTGCTGGTGCTGATGCTTTGGCCCCTCCCGCTGCCCCTCCCACTGAGGAAGTGTTTAATTCGGACGAGGACAGTGATGAGGATATACCAGCTGAGAAGGAAGACCTTCAGAAAAGAGTGAAAGAATTGAAGAAAGTAAGTAACCATTACAACATTTAGATGGAAGTGTACATGTACATCACGTACATTATGAAAAGCACATGTACTGTATCCTTCTCTTGTTCCCCATGCATGATCAGTAATTATAATTGGCTTTAATATTGTTTTAACATCACACCACTTAATATGAGAATGCAGCTTTATATAATATTGTCCATGTATCTTTTTAGAAACTTATCTTTGTGCGTGGGCGTATCAATACGCTGACTCGGCAGATGAGAAAGTTTCCCCTAGGACAGGACAGGTACACTCGTCAGTACTGGAACCTTCCTGAGATGGGCGGGGTCTTGATTGAGGGACAGGAGACCTCCAACAACGACTACCTTGATGAGCTCCTTCCTCGTCTTGAAGCAGAAGAGAAAGAGAGAGAGGAGGAGGAAAAGGGAAGGACATTGGTTCCAGACTCTCCTCCTCATTCCAGTGTCACAGCTGAGAGCCACGGGACTACCTCCGATGTACCGCTAAGTTCTCAATCCTCCCCTCGTCCTGGAGGGGCGTGGCTCACAGACTCGCCTGCTAAGTATTCTGATGACACTGACCTTGATACACTAAACACACCCACTAAATCAGCCACGCCCATTAAAGGGTCTACTCCCACTCCTTTTCCAACCATTCACGAGGAGACTAGTCTAGATCAGTTTTCAGTTGCTCCAGCCTCGCCTCCAAAAGAGGCGGAGCCTGTTTCTATTCCGGAGAAGACTCAACATCCACTGGAGATATCAACAAAGCATAGCCATGCCCAGGAAGTGGTTGCCATGGAAACAGACTCTGTACCGGCGGGTTCTGCTTTACCAGAAGGTGTTGATCAGTCTGTCCCTTTAGCTGTTAGTAACTCGTCACCTTCAATAGTCACCACTTTCTCTTCACACAAGACCACACCCCCTTCATCTAATACTCCCATTAAGAGTGCCACACCTGGTGCCACGCCTCTAAAAGCATCAACATCATCGGTTAGTCTGAACACTACTCCCTGGTTTTCATTACTACCACGAAAACCCTGTGAGCTCCTTCACTACATAAACGGAGGAGCAATAGGGGATATTCAAGGATCTACTGGCCTGTTAAATGGAGGAGCAGGACAAATGGTTGTACCAGGAGGCTATGCTGCTTATATGACACAAGATGGTACTACAGTGCTAGCAGCAACTGGTCAGCCAATGATGCAGCAGGTGCAGGTTGGGTACGCTGTAGTCGGCAATACCCTTGTTCCTCAGACCCAGTACATTATACAGCAAGGAGGGGGATCAGCAGGTACACAGTATGTGTCACTACCTAATGGTCAAATAGCAGCAGTGGCTACTGGTGGGGAGACTGGTCCTAATGCTAATATACAGTATACTAATATTGGAGGGAATCAGTACGCTATTATACAGCAACCGAGTGTTGAGGAGGGAGTGACGGGTGGTGTGGTCAGTGCTACTGGTAATGTAGTGGGTGGAGTTAATGTTGAATCATCTGGTGGAGGAACTGAAGGTACTGGAGATGGGAATACGCCACAACCAAGGAAGAGGAGGAGGAAGAGGGCCAGAGACACCATACAACAAACAAGTGAGCATCTATTGACAATGTTTTTATGATGTACCAATATCCTATACAGCTGATTCAAGTTATGAGCACTTTAAAAAACAATTCAGTTTTTGAAAGAAAGCAAAGGCTATAGCCCATGGTTTTTCCAAAAAAATGGCCCCGAAATCACCCCCAATTTTTATTACATTTTCTGATATATATTGATGTCCTTATGCTGTGTAGAAAGTTTGAGCTCTATACCCAAGCCCATGGTTTTTTCCAAAAAATGGCCCCGGAATCACCCCAAATTCTTATTTTATTTTCTGATACATATTGATGTCCTTATGCTATGTAGAAAGTTTGAGCTGATTCCAACTTGAATTTTTCAAGTTACGGCCATTTTAAGAAAACGTCAAAATTCTGAAAAATACCCAAGGCTATAGCCCATGGTTTTTTCCAAAAAATGGCCCCAAAATCACCACCAATTTTTATTACATTTTCTGATACATATTGATGTACTTATGCTGTATAGAAAGTTTGAGCTCATTCCGACTTCAGTTTTTCAAGTTACGGTCATTTTAAGAAAACGTCAAAATTCTGAAAAATACCCAAGGCTATAGCCCATGGTTTTTTCCAAAAAATGGCCCCGAAATCACCCCAAATTTTTATTTTATTTTCTGATACATATTGATGTCCTTATGCTATGCAGAAAGTTTGAGCTCATTCCGACTTCAATTTTTCAAGTTACAGCCATTTTAAGAAAACGTCAAAATTCTGAAAAATACCCAAGGCTATAGCCCATGGTTTTTTTCAAAAAATGGCCCCGAAATCACCACCAATTTTTATTACATTTTCTGATACATATTGATGTACTTATGCTGTGTAGAAAGTTTGAGCTCATTCCGACTTCAGTTTTTCAAGTTACGGCCATTTTAAGAAAATGTCAAAATTCTGAAAAATACCCAAGGCTATAGCCCATGGTTTTTTCCAAAAAATGGCCCCGAAATCACCACCAATTTTTATTACATTTTCTGATACATATTGATGTCCTTATGCTATGCAGAAAGTTTGAGCTCATTCCGACTTCAATTTTTCAAGTTACGGCCATTTTAAGAAAACGTCAAAATTCTGAAAAATACCCAAGGCTATAGCCCATGGTTTTTTCCAAAAAATGGCCCCAAAATCACCACCAATTTTTATTACATTTTCTGATACATATTGATGTACTTATGCTGTATAGAAAGTTTGAGCTCATTCCGACTTCAGTTTTTCAAGTTACGGTCATTTTAAGAAAACGTCAAAATTCTGAAAAATACCCAAGGCTATAGCCCATGGTTTTTTCCAAAAAATGGCCCCGAAATCACCACCAATTTTTATTACATTTTCTGATACATATTGATGTCCTTATGCTATGCAGAAAGTTTGAGCTCATTCCGACTTCAATTTTTCAAGTTACAGCCATTTTAAGAAAACGTCAAAATTCTGAAAAATACCCAAGGCTATAGCCCATGGTTTTTTTCAAAAAATGGCCCCGAAATCACCACCAATTTTTATTACATTTTCTGATACATATTGATGTACTTATGCTGTGTAGAAAGTTTGAGCTCATTCCGACTTCAGTTTTTCAAGTTACGGCCATTTTAAGAAAATGTCAAAATTCTGAAAAATACCCAAGGCTATAGCCCATGGTTTTTTTCCAAAAAATGGCCCCGAAATCACCCCAAATTTTTATTTTATTTTCTGATACATATTGATGTCCTTATGCTATGCAGAAAGTTTGAGCTCATTCCGACTTCAATTTTTCAAGTTACGGCCATTTTAAGAAAACGTCAAAATTCTGAAAAATACCCAAGGCTATATAGCCCATGGTTTTTCCATAAGTTGGCTCTGAAATTACCCCCAGTTTCTATTACTTTTTGAGCAGCTACATGTATGTATCACATTTTTAACGTTGAAACGAATTTTTTAATATTATTTTATTTTATAGCTACAGTGGGTGGGGCTACAACTACTGGAGGGGGAGGGGCTACAGCAGATGAAGGTACAAGTGCATCATTAGCAGCTACAGACTCATCAGAGCAGAAATACATCACGCTAGCCCTTCCAACCGGTACAGGCGGTGAAACACAATACTGTCAAGTACCTGCGGACCCACGAGTACTCTCCGGGCAATACTCTTACGCAATAATGCCCCAGGGAGACGGAACGTCTCAGATAGTACTAATAGAGAACTCTACCCTAGGGGTGGGTATGAGTGGAGGCTCTGAGACGAAGGAAGTGGTTGAGATGGAGGTCCCACCTGCTACTGTTTTTGATAACGAATACGAGGGCCAGCCATTTAAAGTTGACATCACTTTAATGTACGCCGAGGCGCCCCTGCCTTTTAACACAAAGAAAGAGAATGAAGTTAAGAAAGAGGACGAGAAAGAGAAGGAGAAGCCACTGAAGGAGCTCCTGCAAGAGGTCGATAATGGTAAGACTAGCAGTGAGAGAGAATATGATTATTATTTTATTATTTTAAAACAGATCTGACTAATGGTTGGTGGACTATTAGGTCTCCACTTGAAATTGATTACTTGCTGCGAAGTCTCACAATGAGGTATTGCCCCTTTCATTAAAATAATAATTAGCATGCACCCATAATTAATGACACGTACATGTACATTTACTTTTACACAATATTATATTAATTATTTTTCTTCAGGGGTTATCGAGAGAAAGGTCTTCACAAATTGTTACAAAAGAACAAGGAAAGCATTTGCTCCACCCTCAAAGCCGGTTTATTGACGACGCCCCCTTTTGAAAACCGAGAAGAAAAACCCGAACCTCAAACAAAGACTGCTGACTCGTCACCTCCTGAAGTTATTGTTGTTGACAAGGAGCGAGAAGAAGATGAGAAAATGGAAGAGACTTTAAGTAAAAGGACAGAATCTTCTAATAGTATTGAGGAGGTTGAGTCTGATGATAACGAGGAGGCAGAGTCACAAAACGAGGTAGTAACAGAATTGCAAGACGACAAAGAGAGAGTGGAGTCACAAGATAATAATAACAAGGAGGCGGAGCCTAAGAATGATGGTGAAATTGATAAGGAAATGGAATCTGGAAAGGAAGAAAAGATGGAAGAAGGTTTGGAGGCCTTGTCAGTGTCCCCAACCTCTTTCTATCCATTGGAAACTGAGAGATTAGCTGAACACATTCTGAAGTACCTCAAGGATATGGAGTCGAGACTGTTTGATGCTCACTTACAAATAAAAGTGTGACAATATTAGTGTGAATGTTCTATATTATTCTTCTCCTTTTAGGGGATCGTTAAAGCTAACTATCAGAGCCAGTTCCTGACTAGTCCTTCAGAGGAAGGAGGGTCTAATGTTAGCCTGCCTCTTATATTTAACAGACTCTTAATGCTCGAGTCTTGTGTGCAGAGACGCTACCTTAAACCACCTTTCAAAGAAAAGTAAGTACCTTTTTTGAAGTTGTTCAAAAATTTAAAAAAAGCAACCTGTACTAAGGAAAGAATTCTCTCATTTATTTTCCATTTTCTGACACATGTCCTTTTTGCTATGTAGAAGATTTGAGCTGATTCTGACTTTCCAGAATAATCACATGTACATGTACATATTAATGCTTTTGAGTAACTTATCATAGTAAAGTTTAATCTCTTTTCCATCCAGGTCTCATGGTAGCAAGAAGACAGAGACAGGAGGAGGAGGAAGAGAAGACAAAGAGAGCTCCTCTCCACCTCCTGAGCCAGTGGCACTAACGAAATGGAAGACATCAGCAGTTGAAGCTACCTCCTCCTCACAGTTGGCAGTCTGCATCAATCAGTTGGAGAGATGTATTGCATGGGAGAAGAGCCCGATGAAAGTGGTACGAACATGTACATGTACATACACATAGTACATTTTTAATACTTGGGCTCTTTTGATGTTAACCTTTTCCTTCTAGTTTTGTGTCGTATGTCAGACTGGTGATAACGAGTCTCTACTCCTTCTCTGTGATCGATGTGATCGTGGTACCCACACTTACTGCTGTAGGCCCAAACTTGACGCTATACCTGACGGCGACTGGTTCTGTCACAACTGCACTGTCAATGTAAGCGCCTAACATGTTTAACAATACAAGGAATGGGATGATATTTATAATTATCAAACTATTTTGTTCATAATTATTTTATTTCAGGCATCACGCAAGATTGCCTGTGGTGTGTGTCAAAGTTCCCGTGGGTCGCTCCTCCATTGCACCCAGTGTCCTAATGTCTTCCATAAGCGTTGTCTCAACCCTCCCCTCACAAAGTAACCAACAACAACTGTGTCTCTGTGTAATGACTACCTTTAATTATAATCTACCCTAGACTCCCAAGCCTCCCGTGGGTTTGTATAGAGTGTCGTAGAGAGCAGAGGAGAAAGCCTGGGCGTCCTCGTGGAGCTAAAGACGATTTAATACTCTGCCAGTCGCTTCTGATGGACCTTGAGGAGCAAGATGATGCCTGGCCCTTCCTGGAGCCTGTGAACCGTAAGAAGATACCCGACTATTATCGGGTCATTAAGAAACCAATGGACTTCCACACTGTCAAGCAGAAACTAAGAGAGGGAAAGTAAGCAATGACACACTGTATTGCATATCAATGCTTAGTGCATTGAATTTCATTATTTTTTTAAAATTATTGATGTGATTTTTATTTGGTTCTTTTTTCAGGTATCCAAACAAGGAGTCTCTAGCATTAGATGTCAGACTCATATTTGATAACTGTGCATTCTATAATGAAGACAATTCACAGGTTAGTCCTGTAGTCCTCTACTGTAGCACACTACAGCATTCTGCTTTGAGTGCTGTCCAGGCTTGATTTTGGAGAGATTTCAAAAATTCATAAAAAATCCATTTTTAATTGGAACCAGCTCAAACTTTCTATGCATCATAAAAGTACATGTACATGCATCAGAAAAATTATTAAAATTGAGAATTTTCTACTTTTCAATTTTGGCAAAAACTGGCCCAAGACCAATGTATTAGGACTAGTGAATTCTTTATATGCAGGATAATTTTGCATAATTTATTTAAGTATGACTATCTTGTATGTTGTGTTTGAGAAAGGTACCTCATTACTGCAGTGTATAAAATAGTTCTTATATTATCTTTATTTACTTCCTTTATAGATTGGTCTAGCTGGCCACAATATGAGACAGTACTTTGAAAAGAGATGGACTGAAATGATGCTAAATCAATGATTCAGTCACTAAATTTACACGTTGCATGCACCGAACTTTCAACCTGTACCTATTTTTCATTTTCTAATGCTATTCAATTTATGCATCACTTTAATTTCACGTTTCTGTCAATATTTTTCTTCTTGATTTTATTTTTTTTCCCTTAGTATTTCTTTCTCTTTCTTCATTTTATCTTATTCAATTCTCATCTTTTGTGTTTAAGTGTCAAAAACATGCACACACACACACACACATACACCTCCACTGCATAGTAATTATTAATTTATTAATTTATTCGATAATTTTTTGTTTTTGTATGTATTTCAGTTACAACAAGTCGTTATAACAATAATTACTAGAGACAGTGGAAACTGATACAATATGCATGTAGATAACTTCATCACTGCAATCTAGAAAACAGATACCGTAGGGCGCCTTTTTTTGGTGGTCACTATTTTACGGGACGGGACGGGACAGGATACGCAGAAATAACCTATTTTGCGGGACAAGTAGGCGAGCAAAACTGAACCAGCTCAACATGCCTGTAATTTTTCCTTTAAACTGTAACTATATTTCAGAACCCACTTATGTCTGAAATTTACACAAACTGTAAATGTATAAGCAACCATTATTCTATAATAATCAAGTTATTCATTAATAATTATTATTATCCACTCTTAATTGTTATCATCAATTTTTCGCATCTTCATAAGAAACCCAATTGTATTTAGCAATACCGTGCAGTTGATTAATATCTATAGTGTATGACAAATTTCATATTGCATGACTACTGGCTGAATATCAGTGAATCAATACCTCAAAATAATAAAGGTCAAAACTG